TACAGGATCATTATCCATAACTTTTTGAAAACGTTATAACCCCTCGCCATAAAATAAGTATTGTTTCCAAAATATACATACTACGTGTAGTAAGAAAATACCTACTGTAGCCTGCAAAATCACAAGATTGCCACAAGTCGCAATGTTGTGTAAATGAACATATAACAACCAATATCACATAATCTCGCATAAGCAAACATATCATATCGGGTGCTCATCGACACATGCTGACACACGAGTTCATGTAGAGGTATTCTGACATGAATAGGACTAGGCGTAACAATGATATACGCTCTAGTACTACAATCACGTGAAGCCTAGCGCTATGCGAGCACATACGAGTTTGAGTTACCTATTGCAACATGCACGACAGGACTGACACCTACAATGGATCCAAAGTGAGTGTACGGTGCAATGTGCACATACACGTGAAAGATTGGCCCTGACCTGGGTGAGTACCAACACCGGTGTAGCAAACGATGAGCAAATAACATAATTATAATTTATAATCATGCCACAACCATTCAACAATTCTAGTCAATATCTTACTATTCATGACCATAAATATAATTAAGGCATCCTCTTATAGTAAGCTTATATGTGCATCCCATAGGATTATTTCATCATTTCCCAACAATAAGGCATTTCTTATAAACGTAAGTTTAATCATCAGGGCCGGCGCTGAGAGGGTGCAAGTGGTGCTACCGCACAAGGCCCTTGATTTTTCAATTTTGCATGCATATACATATATATAGTAGTAAGTCACAAACTTGAGTCTTAGCGCAAGTGGAATTATTGCTTCTTTACATCAGCCTAGGAGATGAGTTCATCTCCATCATTTTTTCAGTTTATATTTTTATTAAATGCATAAGTTTCCACAAAATAATATAAAAATTCCACATAATAACATGAAAATTCGAACCCTAACCCTCTAAATAGTTAAGGAAAAACAATACCCCACATTTCTACTTGTTGATTTGTTAAATTTGTTTGTGCTATTAGAATTTATAGAAGCTCAATTGAAAACTAAAATTATTATTTTGAACAAAAAAATAAAAAAAATTAAATTCTTAGTACATTTTAGGGCCTCCAATTCACTTTCGCATAAGGCCCCTGAAATCTCAAGGCCGGCTCTGTTAATCATGGCAATCACGTTGAGAATTTACTATTAATTGTATATATGGAAACTAACCAATAGATATATACATATAAATACATACATACATATATATATATATATATATATATATATATATATATATCAAATAAAAGACCCACTCACAGATCATGTCGTTGAGTCGAACCCGCCTTGTAGCATCGAGAGTCTTTGCGAAGCGTTTCGCCTAGAAATGAAATCATTTAGGTAAATATAACGTACTAATGTAATTACACATTTTCGTACAAAGTACGGCTAATAAAGGAACTATCTTAAAAAGGTCGAATTTCAAAAAACGGATGGAGGATTTGAAATCGGGGCGTCTAAATGCGCGAAGGAGGGTCCTCGACAAATTTTGTAAAAAGTCAACGGTCAACCCTAAAAGTCAACCGAGAAGCCCCCGGTGGTCAACTACGTTAAAACTTTATAATTTCACTAAATGAATGTCAAAAATGCACTCGGGACTTTGAAATTAGCCAAGGAGGGTTTTCCGAGAAATTCCGAAAAATGTCAACACCAGGAATATTCCAAAGAATATTCCAAGAATATTCTGAAATGTTTCAGGCCCATTTTGGAATTGGGCCGGTTGGCCAAAGTTTTGGACCAAAAGAATATGGGCCGGGCTTTTTGGGCTTAAGGCCCCCCCCCTCTTTTTTTTCTTCTTTTTTTTCATTTTTTTTCTCTGTTCTTCTCCGGCCAACCGCCGAAGTCTGGGGACACTTGGCCAGGAAATTTTCCAGGCTTCACCTCGCTTAGAAACTCAACTAAAACTAGCAGTGTAATATACCAATTTGAAGCTCAAAAGGAGAGGAAAAGAAATATACCAACAGGGGATCCTTCCATGGCCGATATTGGCCGGAAAACGGCACGAAGCCACCTGGTTTCTCGCCGGAAATTGGTCAACTTTCCCCCGCCTTGATTCCTGCTTCAAAATGTCACCAAAGCATCTCAAAATTACCCTAATCTACTCTAAAACGTGGTCCAAGAAGGTTTAGGTTAGTTTCGAGGCTCACCTTCACTGGAGTTCTCCATTTCATTTAGTCTCCGATGCGAGGTCTGGAGGTTGTTCGAGTTTGGGTCCTGGGCTCGGAAATAGAGAGATGGGACAAGCTGGGGGTGATGGTGACGTGGCTCGCCGGCGAGGTGCGAGAGGCTATGGTTAAAATAATAAATTATTATTATTAAAATAATAATTTAAAAACAAAATAATATTAAAATAATGATATAATAATTATGAGAAATATATAAAATAATAAATAGCTATTTTTTTAACAAAAGTACTTTTTAGATTTGTAGTTACATAAATTTTTTATCGTAAATCCGATTTCGATTCCGTTTACTCCTATACGTTCGTACCGTCTTGTACACGTCACGAACTGATGGTCAATAAAAGTTAACATTCTCGTCTCTAGAGCATTTTTATCAATTCACTTATTTAAAATTCATAAAATTATAAAAATAGGGACGGAATATCATGTTAGTAGCTTATATAAGAAAACTGGTAGTACAGGAAATATCAAATTCAATCATGAAGATATTGACCTCGTCAAAAGAATCAAAGAAAAAATAAAAACATACCAGATCTTTCCTTACTATTAGACAATGATTACTTAATAATTCAAACAGATGAATTTAGGGGGTTAAATTTTGAGGGTATTTATGTTAATTTGATCAGATTTTTGGCTATATTTGAAAGATAATGTAAAAACTGACATTTATGAATTTAGGGGGTTAAATTTTGACTATAAATGATAAAAACTTCTATGCTATTGTATTTCATAGTAAGTTTTTTGTTAATACCTTAACTTTATAATCATCAAAATAATTTTTTTAACGAATCGAAATGGGTTACCCACAGGTTACTCGCGTGTAAACCCGTCATTAACGAGTTCTAAATAGGCGGCCCGATAACGACTATTAGTTGCTGTGTTGACTCAAAACCCGTTATTTTCATGTCATTTTTGTGTTGAGTTAACAAATCGTGTAAGAAATTATAAAGTCTAGTTGTAGACAAATCCGCTCCTGCGCATGTTAGAGTATCACATTTGTTGACCTCTCGACAGCTGACGCAGGCGGGTGGTCAGGTTACCTGCAAGAAACTATAATCCTAAGAACGATGATCCAAGTGTCACGGGCCATGTGTTAAAAACAAAGAAAATGCCCAAGACATCATATATCTAAGCCCATGAAGCCATGTCTTCATGGAAGCTTCTGGAACGTCCCGGAGAAATCAAGAACGTGGCGGAGCATTCAAGATAATCTAGGGCATTCCGGAACATTCCACACAAGTGTACATATTTAAGCCTCACCTAGAATAATCTAGATTAGGCAAGTTGTATCTAGAACTATGCTAGATATTTTTGGATGTAAGTAGAGGATTCTAGAACCCTCCATTGAGGAGGTGACTTAGGCCTATAAATAGGAGGCAAGGCCATTTGGCCAAACCATCCAAGAATTGTAAGCAATTGTAAAGTTCTCTTAACTTTCAATACAAAGCTTCCTTTCTCCCATCTTCTAAGTGATCTTAGCATTCTCCAAGCTATCTTAGCTTTCTTTGTGATTCGATCCGGGGAAGCGAGGCTTCGAAGGCTTACTTAGCTTGTTCATCGAGGTATTCAAGTCTAAGTGCCGCACGGGCGGAAGGCTTAAAGAGTCATCCCGTGACAGCTGGTATCAGAGCCTAGTTCGTGAATCACTTGAAGGAAAGTAAGATATGTCAAGTGGAGAGACGGTGTCCGGAGTCTCCGAGCTAAGGGAGCGTGCTGTCGAGGTCCAAGACGTTGCCAAGAGCAAGCCAAAGTTAAAGGACTTGCAAGCATCGATGGAGACCATGGAAGAGCGACTCGAGAAGATGGAACGAACCATACTCGAGTTCGATACTCGACTTGATGAGGACGTTGTCGACAAGGAGGAAATCCAAACCATAGTGGACAATGGTAAGGATGAACTGCGTGGCTTGGTGGAAGGGCTACGAGATGAGCTCCTTGGCGCTCTCAACACCATGGCAGACAAGATGCGGAGGGAAGTCCAGGTTCACCTTGACAACATAGAGGCAAGGTTTGTGGCGCTTCAAGAAGAGATAAAGGACACAAGGGAACTCAAGGGAGATGTGGCGTTTTGTAAAGAAGCAGTCGTGAAGCAATTCGTGCAAGGGTCGAGGGAAATCAAGTCGTTGGACTCCAAGGTAATCGACTCCTTTAAACCCAAATCCTATAATGGGAAGAGGGAAGCAAAGGAGCTCGACACATTCGTGTGGAACGTAGAGCGATACTTCAAGTACCTGAAGCTTGAAGATGACGAGTCCAAAATCTCAACGGCAACCATGTTCTTAGCTGACAATGCCCTTATGTGGTGGCGTCGTCGGAGCATGGAAATTGAGCAAGGTACGTTCTCTCTCACCACTTGGGATGAATTTAAGAAAGATCTTATGTTGCACTTCTATCCCCAAAATGCCAAGTACGAAGCCAAGGAGAAACTAAGGTGGCTCAAGCAAACGGGGAGCGTCAAAGACTATGTCAACGCCTTCGTGAGCTTGTTATTCGAGGTGCCCAACATGTTAGAGGAAGACAAGCTCATGTACTTCATGAGTGGACTGCAAAATTGGGCAAAAACTCGAACTACAAAGGAGACACGTGCAAACATTGTCTGATGCCATTGCCGCTGCCGAATCCTTGATTGAGTTTAAATCAAGCCACCAAGGTGATTCCAAGTCCACGGGGAAGAAGGGTAACCATGAGAGAAGTGGGGGAGAACATAAGCCGAAGGACAAGGCCGAGACAAGCAAACCGAAGGAGAAGAAAGCCGATAAGCATGACAAAGGCAAAGGTAAGTCTTGGCAACCCACTTGTTACCTATGCGACGGCCCTCACATGATGCGAGATTGCCCACAAAAGAAGGCCCTTAAGGCCATGACCTTCAAGGAGGACAAGGCCGAAGAGAGTAACGATGCAACGATGGGATGCATCCGTCTACTGAATGCCATCCAGACAACCCTCCCACAACCTAAGGCTCAAGTTGGGGGAGGATCATTGTTCGTCGACGTCAAGACTGGTGACAAGACGACGCGTGTGTTGGTGGACACGGGAGCAACACACAACTTCATGACGTCGGAGGAAGCAACAAGGCTTGGCCTCCGAGTCACAAAGGAGCCTGGTAGCGTGAAGACGGTAAATTCCGCTGCCACCCCTATTGTTGGAGTTGCGCGCAATGTACAAGTAGACATTGGCGCATGGAAGGGAGAGATCGACTTCACTATAGTCAAGATGGACGACTATGGCGTAGTCATTGGGTTAGAGTTCATGGACAAGGTACGAGCCTTTCCCATTCCCTTCTACAATATTTTCTGTATCCTGGCCGATGGAAGACAACCTTGCCTAGTGCCATTGGAAAGGCAAGCCAAGAAGTGCACCCAACACTTGTCGGCAATTCAATTTGCCAAGTCTTGGAAGAAAGGCGAGGCCACATTTCTTGCAACCCTAATGTTGAATGAAGGGGAGGAGAAGTACGGGCCTTTGCCGAAACAAGTGGAAGACGTCCTTGTGGAGTTTGCGGACGTGATGCCTAAGGAACTGCCAAAGAAGTTACCACCAAGGAGAGAGGTCGACCATGCGATTGAGTTGGAGCCTGGTGCTAAGCCTCCCTCCAAATCACCTTATAGGATGTCGCCACCCGAGTTGGAGGAATTGAGGAAGCAACTCAACGAGCTACTTGATGCTGGCTACATCCAACCCTCCAAGTCCCCATATGGTGCACCCGTCCTGTTCCAACGCAAGAAAGAAGGTAGCCTAAGGTTGTGCATCGACTATAGAGCATTGAACAAGATTACCATCAAGAACAAGTATACCCACTTCCGTTGATCGCCGACTTATTCGATCAACTTGGTGAAGCAAGGTACTTCACAAAGTTAGATCTTCGATCGGGATACTACCAAGTGAGGATAGCCCCTGGAGACGAATCGAAGACGGCGATGGTGACCAGATATGGAGCGTTCGAGTATAAAGTCATGCCATTTGGTCTGACCAATGCCCCCGCAACATTTTGCACATTGATGAACAAGGTATTCCATCCTTATCTTGACAAGTTTGTCGTGGTTTACATTGATGATATCGTTGTCTATAGCAAGACATTGGAGGAGCATGTCAAGCACTTGCGCATAGTGTTCCAGACCCTTCGGGAGCATGAACTCTATGTCAAGAAGGAGAAATGCTCCTTTGCCACAAAAGAAGTAGAATTTCTTGGCCACAAGATAAAGGAGGGGAAACTTATGATGGAAAAGGGCAAGATCAAGGCCATTCAAGAGTGGGAACCGCCGACCAAGGTACCAACACTACGATCCTTTCTGGGGCTAGCCAACTACTATCGGAGATTCATAAAAGGGTATTCAGCTATAGCGGCACCTTAACAGACCTTCTTAAGAAAAACAAGGCATGGGAATGGACGGACCGGTGTCAAGAGGCCTTTTGAGAGGTTGAAGAAGGCCCTAATGGAGGAGCCTGTACTAAGGTTGCCCGACCTTAGTAAGCCATTCGAGTTGCACACTGATGCTTCCGACTTTGCCATAGGAGGAGTGTTGATGCAAGAGGGACATCCGATAGCCTATGAAAGTCGCAAGCTAAACAATGCCGAGAAGAGGTACACGACCCATGAAAAGGAGATGACCGTCATCGTCCATTGCCTTAGAGTTTGGAGGCATTACTTGCTTGGTACCCCATTCGTCATCAAGACGGACAACGTTGCCACTAGCTACTTTCAAACCCAACAAAAGCTCACACCTAAGCAAGCAAGGTGGCAAGAGTTCTTAGCGGAGTTTGATTACAAGCTAGAGTACAAGCAAGGAAAGGAGAACGTGGTGGCCGATGCTCTAAGTAGACGAGTAGAGTTAATGGCTACGGTACTCAAGCCGCAAAGCCATCTCTTGGATCGTGTCCGAGAAGGTTTGTCACATGACGTCCAAGCCAAGAACATTGTGGAGTTTGTCAAGGATGGGAAGACAAGAAGGTTTTGGCTTGAGGACGGCTTGCTATACAGCAAGGGCAAGTGGATCTACGTCCCAAAGTGGGGAAGCTTAAGGAAAGAAATCCTTAAGGAGTGCCATGACTCAATGTGGGCAGGACATCCTGGTACTCACCGCACGTTGGCTTTGGTAAGCGATGCTTATTATTGGCCACAAATGCGGGATGATGTAGATTCATACGTGAAGACTTGTCTTGTGTGCCAACAAGACAAAGTGGAACAAAGGCAACCGGGAGGACTGTTGGAACCACTTCCCACCCCATCAAGACCATGGGAGTGTTTGACCATGGATTTCATCACACATTTGCCCAAGTCTGATGGATGTGGATCTATCTTCGTCGTGGTCGATAGATTCACCAAGTATGCCACTTTCATACCCGCACCTGTGGAGTGCACAGCCGAAGTAGCTGCACGCTTGTTTCTAAAGCACGTGGTGAAGTATTGGGGTGTTCCGAGGAGCATAGTCAGCGATCGAGATGCTCGCTTCACGGGTAGATTTTGGAAGGAGCTCTTCAAGCTACTTGGCTCAAAGTTAGACTTCTCCACAGCTTTTCATCCCCAAACTGATGGACAAACGGAGCGGGTTAACGCATTGTTGGAGACTTATTTGCGGCACTATGTTAGTGCCAATCAACGAGATTGGGCTAAGTTACTTGATGTTGCCCAATTCTCTTATAACTTGCAACGTTCGGAGTCGACGGGGAAAAGTCCGTTCGAGTTGGCTATAGGGCAACAACCCTTGACCCCGAACACGGTCGTGACTGGCTACACGGGGAATAGTCCAGCCGCTTTCAAAACCGCTAAGGAGTGGCAATTAGCCCACGAACTTGCTCGAGCTCACTTGGAGAAGGCTTCAAAGAAGATGAAGAAATGGGCGGATCGTAAGCGAAGGAATGTGGAGTTCCAAACCGGCGACCAAGTCTTTGTGAAGCTCAATGCGTCTCAGCACAAGAGTACTCGTGGCTTGCACAAGAGCTTGTTGCGGAAGTATGAGGGACCATTCCCTATCATCAAGAAGGTTGGCAAAGCCGCTTATGTGTGTGGAACTCCCACCCCGCCTCAAGTTTCACCCGGTGTTCCATGTGAGCAACTTAAAGCCTTATCATGCAGACAATGAGGAGCCAAGCCGAGGTGAGTCTCATCGAGCACCCCCTTTGATGACGGAGGCATTTGACAAAGAAGTGGAGAGCATTGAAGCCAAGCGTGTCGTGGTGCGACCAAGACAACCAAAGCATGTGAAGTACTTTGTCAAATGGAAAGGGCTACCATACTCCGAAGCAACATGGGAGAAGGAGACGTCCTTATGGCAATATAAGGACTTGATTCAGACATTCGAGAGGCAAGAGTCGACGAGGACGTCGACGGCTTAAGTGGGGGAGGATGTCACGGGCCATGTGTTAAAAACAAAGAAAATGCCCAAGACATCATATATCTAAGCCCATGAAGCCATGTCTTCATGGAAGCTTCTGGAACGTCCCGGAGAAATCAAGAACGTGGCGGAGCATTCAAGATAATCTAGGGCATTCCGGAACATTCCACACAAGTGTACATATTTAAGCCTCACCTAGAATAATCTAGATTAGGCAAGTTGTATCTAGAACTATGCTAGATATTTTTGGATGTAAGTAGAGGATTCTAGAACCCTCCATTGAGGAGGTGACTTAGGCCTATAAATAGGAGGCAAGGCCATTTGGCCAAACCATCCAAGAATTGTAAGCAATTGTAAAGTTCTCTTAACTTTCAATACAAAGCTTCCTTTCTCCCATCTTCTAAGTGATCTTAGCATTCTCCAAGCTATCTTAGCTTTCTTTGTGATTCGATCCGGGGAAGCGAGGCTTCGAAGGCTTACTTAGCTTGTTCATCGAGGTATTCAAGTCTAAGTGCCGCACGGGCGGAAGGCTTAAAGAGTCATCCCGTGACACAAGGATCCCTTTCTTTATTAATTAGAAGGAGCAGATAGTTTGTAGCAATTTAAATCTTGTTGGAAAGATTGATATGTTCCCATCCAGTGACCTGGATTTCACAGATGATTTTATGCAAAAGTATTCAAAAATAAAGAGATGAATTTGTACTGGTTTTATATGTTCTAATGCTTCATGACATTAAGCGTGCAAGCTCTTCTCATGTTTTTTATGTTCTATTTTTATTTATTTATATATTTTATACCACTGAAATTGAGAGAAGTTACAATTTAACACAGAACCTCAAACGAGAATCGAATACAGAACCTCGTCGTCGACGTTAGGTAAGATATAATCAATGATGTGAAGACTTGTATAAACACAATGAATTTCAAAGGTTAAAGAGGAAGATATAAATGCAGGTCAAAGAAACATCATTTACAGGAATATATTTACAAGTTACAAGCCAACAAGGTGCGTCACAAAAATCAAGTTTACATACATCAACGCAGAAATACTAACACAACTATAATCATACAAAAGAAAAACAAACAAGCAAAATACGAAAGGGAAAAAGAGGGGACTGTCACTCCTACATGGGAAAAACTTGAGCGTAGCTGGGAATTTTCCGCCCTGCTTCTATCTCTGACTTGATGTGAGAGATAAAAGACAGGGCGGATAAATCCTCAATTACATGCTAGAATCCCCGCTAGCTTGGGTACCTGTCACTACCACATCTATGACTACCCGATACTAAGGGAGGTGAGCCAGAACCGCCTTCAAAATCAACATCCGCATCATCACAAGACCAATCACTTGCCTTCACAAAACCTGATGATGTGGGATAAGAATGCACATAATCCTCAAACTCAACACCCTTCTTCCCATCATAAGCCCCGGGAGACGCCACTGCGTCCGGCAGCGCTGCCTCACCCTCCAAGTACCTCACCACCTGCCTCATTGTGGGTCTTGCCTTGGGGGAATTATTTGAGCACATCAGCCCTAGCTTCAGCACCACCACAGCCTCCAGATCATCAAACTCATCCTCCAATCTGGGGTCCACAACTTCAAGAATTGCACCAGCCTTCCACTTCTCCCAAACCCAATCAACCAACATCAGCTCCTCCGGCAGGGCTTTTGGCTCGATGGGTCTCCTCCCACACACCAGCTCCAGCAGGAGAGCACCAAGAGCAAACACATCCGAGCTCGGAGTTGGTTTTCCGGTCCGAGTAAACTCGGGAGCGAGGTAACCCAGTGTCCCAACAACCCTAGTTGTTGTAGGGTTTGTTCCATGCTCATACAATTTAGCAAGACCGAAATCTCCAAGCCTTCCATTCATCTCAGAATCCAAAAGCACGTTTCCTGCTTTTACGTCCCTATGAATCACAGTCTGCTCCCAACCTTCGTGCAAATACAATAAGCCAGAAGCTACATTTTGAGCTATCTTGAACCTCTGTTCCCAGCTCAAAATTGCTTTTGGCTTCTCAAATAAATATTTATCCAAGCTCCCATTAGCCATAAAATCATACACAAGCAACAAATCTCCACGCCGGCGACACCACCCCAACAACTGCACTAAATTCCTGTGCCTGAGACGGCCAATGGTGGCGATTTCCGACACGAATTCCTGCAGACCCTGCCTCGACTCGTGCGAAATTCGCTTAACCGCCACTTGGGTTTCCGAATTCGGCAGTGTCCCCTTGTAAACCTTACCAAATCCACCAAACCCGATCAACTCTTTATCCCTGAACCCTCTGGTGGCCTGCTTCAGCTCATTGTATCTGAATCTATGAGGCCCAATGTCGAGCTCCCACGGCTCGATCACCTCGGCGTTCTTGATCCTGTGAACAATGTAGAAGCCCAATCCGGCGGCCAAGATAAAGAAAACAAGAACAGAAAGAGAAACGCCAACGATCAACGCTGATGAATGCTTCTTTTTCGGGCCGGGAAGTTTAGGCAGAGCTTCTAAATCCAGAGATTTGGCTTCTCCGTTCATCTTAAAGCTCCAACCGGAGACGTAGTGGGAGCTGGCGAGCAACCCGGTCGAAGCAGAGAATCCAACGTACATAAAATCTTCCAAAATTGGAGAAAGATCGACATCGAATGTTAAAATAGGGGATCTGGGTTTGATCGAATCGGGTGAAAGCATGACAGTGACTTGATTTTTCACCGAATCGTAGTCGACCCAGGCCTGGATCGGCAGCCCACTCTTGAGCTTGAGGTTCTCCTTCGTCGAATTTCCACCGGTGAAAAACCCGGCTGGGGTCGATTTGTTGGAAGCCAGGCTGTTGATATCGATTCCGACATGGTTGTCGTTGATGTCCCCGAATTCGAAGTCCTGGACTGTGTCGAATTCGACGGCAAAGATGTGGTTGGAGAAGTTGCCGACGACGGTGGCGTTGAGGATGCCGAGGTACTGGCTGGGGAGGGATCCCGGGAGCGATTTCGACGGCGAGATTATGAAGGCAAGGCCGTGGCCGCCGAGCTTTGGGTACTCCGGGACGATGGTGAAGACGAAGGAGGTGGAGAAGGAAAAGGCTTTGCCGTCGGTGGAGTTTTTGAATCGGACTGGGGCGGAGTAGAAGGCGTGGCCGAGGACTCTGGGAGTGTTGTCTGTGAGCTTGAGCATGCCGTTGACCATGATTGCTGCGACGCCGTTTAAGCTCATGTTGCTGCTGTAGGCGACGTCATGGAAGTCGTTGAAGTAGAGCTCTTGGTCGAGCTGGGGTTTTGCTGGGTTTGGCAGGAAGAGGAGGAAAACCCAGTAAAGAATGAACATTTGGTATGCCATAGGAAGTAGGTTTAGTCTTTGGCAATGGAGTTCAGCATATTAACTGCGCTGGCAGTTAAGCAGTTTCTGGAAGTTCTTGGTTTCGAATATTTTCAAAAATAAATTTATACCATATTATTAAGAGTTTATTATCAGGTTTAATCTAACTATTTTTTTATATAATATCGTTCTTAAAAAAAAAAAAACCACTTCAAAATCTCTAAAAACATAATAATAATAAAAAACTTCAGAAGACTTAAATGCCTTCAACTTATGTGAGCTCGGCATCAAGAGTGTTTCAACACATACTCTTACTGTTAAGTGGTTTAACAAGACGAGTATCATACAAGTCGATGAAAATCCAAGGAGTAAGAGTTAATTGGACAAAGACTTAATCATCACCACCTACCAAAACAAAAAACAACGTCTTCCGATGTCTTTCCCAGTCAAAGAGCAACAATGTTGTCACGTGCCAGAATCAAATAGATAGAAAAATTGAAAAGTTGTTGGATGACTAAACTAGACCACCGCAGACTAAAACTCCAAACGCTATTGAAATACGGAATTCACTTGGCTGCTGAATAATTCAGCAGCCACTCCTGCTCATACCAAATTTCGTATGAACAAGTGTTCAAACTTAGACACGTGTTTAACAACCACTTCTGCTTATACCCAATTCTGTGTGAACACGCGTTCACGTGTTGATTAAAAATCAAAACTTGAACACGTATCCGTACGAGATTGAGTATAAGCAGGAGCGGCTGCTGAATTGTTCAGCAGCCACAAAGTCTTGTTCTTGAAATACCATCACCTGTTCTAGTGCTTGTTCTCAAAGTCACCATGCCTATGTCCTCGTTGCTGGGCAATGGAACATGTCCTCAGCAACAGGCCCTGACATCGAACACAAGCAACCTCATAATCGTTTCATAGCAAACCATTTTTAAAATACATATTACAAATAAATTTAACACACAAAGTTCAAGCAACCAAATGCATGCCTTCTTCAGCAACTAGAAACTTATTACTTCCACACTTGAGTACATATTAGAAAGAAAAACAAAACCTTTTTGAAAAAAGTGTGTATCTTTGAATCAAGCAACAACACAATAAAAGATCAGTGATTATCAACCATGACAAATTCGCTACGGGTGCAAATTCCCTCCCCATAACATTATGAACTCTAATCACTGACACCACTATTCGTAATTTCAGCTAGCACATTACTATTCTGAACATTCCTAAGTTTTCAACTTTGTCCTATCACAAAATTTTACATATCCAAAATGTCTTCCAACCCCGTGATGAAAAAAAGATCCTTTATTTCATCGACACAACAAAACTTCCGAATAGCTCAAGTCAATTACGGCACACTACAACACTTAAACTTCACGAGCTTTCAAAAATTGTTCAGTCACAAAATTGCATTGGAAGACAACCAAATAAAAA